GATCTGGAACACACCTGAAGTACTAATAAAGTTGATGTATTAATCTCCCTAACCAAGAAACAATTGCTGGATCACAGCATACTGGACAATTTTGGTGGACCCGGGATGAAGCAAATCATCTAGACCCTTTCAGTGAGGATTCAGGCTTGGGTATGGGATGGAAATGGCATTAGGGTGATATAAAGATTCCTGTCTTGGGGGTGGGGGTTGACCCAGAAGACCTCCAAGGTCCCTTCCAACCCTCTGATTATATGATTCTATCTAAGGAACGGTCTCACCCCAATGATATTAATTCATCCCAGTTGATCCATCAGAAGGGGCATCAGGTCCTCTTGGTCAGAATTTTGACTAACCGAGTTTAGAAGGAGAACCTTTCCTGCCCTGGAATATCTTTTCACCTGAGGTGAGGTCTGTCCCAGCCTGGTGTTCTAGTGGACGTGCTTTATGCTGGAGGTGGCTGGTGGATTAACAAAGAAGAAGGTGCTATTGTATCAATTTTGCTCCTTTTTCCTGTCTCACTATTTAATGTTTTAATACTTTTAAATTTATGATTCTAATTGTAGCCACCTAATTGGTTCGTAGAGTGAGGTAGCGGCATATAAATTTAATAAATAAATCAATACAATTTTTGCTATGACATCTGTGTATTTATGGAGTCCTTGGTGTTCTCCGAGCTTGGTTGTTTGCTTGTAGAAATTTCAAATGCTAGTGAGTGTGGGGATTGCTCTGTTTATATCCATTAGCTTAGTGTTGGTGGGGGTATTGCTTTCTCCTTGGAAGTTCCTTGATTAGGATATGGTTTTCTGCCTGTTTGTCTGGTGTGAATCCATGCTTATCTGGGTGTTGGCTGCTGTAGAGGATGTCACCCTTATTCTTTACCCCTTATTCTTTACCTTGCATATATACATATATGGACCATAAGAAAGGCTGAGCACCAAAGAATTGAGGTGGACCATAAGAAAGGCTGAGCGCTGAAAGGCTGAGTGCCAAAGAATTGAGTCCTTTGAACTATGGTGCTGGAGAAGACTCCTGCGAGTCCCTTGGACTGCAAGGCATTCAAACTGATCAGTCCTAGAAGAGATCAACCCCGACTGCTCTTTAGAAGGCCAGATCCTGAAGTTGAAACTCAAATACTTTGGCCACCTAATGAGAAGGAAGGACTCACTGGAGAAGGGCCTAATGCTGGGAAAGATTGAGGGCAATAGAAGAAGGGGACGACAGAGAATGAGGTGGCTGGATGGAGTCACTGAAGCAGTAGGCGTGANGCCATTTGTCCGAAATGGTATAGGGTTTCCTGCCTGAGCAGGGGGTTGGACTAGATGACCTTCAAGGTCCCTTCCAACTTTACTATTATTATTATTATTATTATTATTATTATTATTATTATTATTATTATTATTATTATTATTATTATTATTATTATTATTATTATTATTATTATTATTATTATTATTATTATTATCTAGCTTGGGATAGCTTTTGCTTTCTACTCTCTCTTGCTGTCTCCATCCCCTTAAGATAGGAATGTTGCTCCCTTATCAGGGAGACAGTTACAGAGAAACGAAACTAGAGAAGTCTTTGAGATGCTCGCCAAGTGTGCCAGTTACCCACTCTTCAGACCACCTGTGCACTGGCTGGATTTCAAATGGACATTATGACTTTGGTGAGAGGAGGAATATTGCTTGCTTAACTATACTGTTTTGACAGGCTTTTCCCCAGATTTTGCCTTGACTTTCCTACTGTCCCTGACCCTAATAAAAGTATCCTTTTGAGACAATGCCTGTTTCAAGAGTTCTGCTTTCTTGGGTGGTTAGCTGAAGTGGGTCCTTACATAAGGCAAGATCTGCATAGTACTCAACCCAGAGAAGCTGCTGCCCTTCAGGGGGAGTCGCAAATGAAATCTACATGGAGGAATTCCAGGCAGAGAAATGGTCCAAAGATCTCCTCTGCCTGAAAGCAGATGAAAGCCTCTCCAGGGACCTGGAGGAAGCTGGACCTTCTGGTGATGAAGACTGAGCCAGATGGTCACTCGGGGTCAGTAAGAAAGAAGGATGGGAGGAAAAAAACCCCAAAGTTACCCTGACCCGAGGAGGAGGAAAAAAGAAAGCAAAGAAAAAGAATCCAGAGCCTGCCCCTCCTGCGTCTTCCTGCAGAGATGCAGCAAAGGGAGAAGCCCCGCCCAAAAAACTTTTCAGCTTGTCGGAGAACACTGTGAGTGCACTCTCTTTTACACACACACACACACACACACACACACACACACACACACACCACACAAACACACAAATACACAAATACACACACAAACACACACAAACACACACACACACACACAGAGAGACAGAGAGAAGCAGGGAAGCACAAGTGCCTCTCTCTGTCTCTGTCTGCAAATGGCAGAGGAGGTTGGGAGCCACAAGGGAAGGCTCAAAGAGCTGCATGCGGCTCCGGAGCCGCAGGTTGTTGACCTGTGGTATAGGGTTTCCTGCCTGAGCAGGGGGTTGGACTAGATGACCTCCAAGGTCCTTTCCAACTTTACTACTACTACTACTACTACTACTACTACTACTACTACTACTACTACTACTATTATTATTATTATTATTATTATTATTATTATTATTATTATTAAGATGGAGAGAAAGAGGAGCTGAAAAGACCTTCGATGAATTTAAGATGCAGCTGAAAGAAAGCCGTGAGTCAGAAGAAGAGTCAGAGGAATTGGAGGTGGATGATCCAGAGATTCCAGAGAAAGCAGTGGCTAGAGCCCAAGAGGCAGCACAGTGGCAGGGCCATCCATCTCAAGGAGCCAGAGGCAGAGACCTCAGCTGGCCACGGTGAAACTGATCCCAATCGGGGTGAAGTTTGACGGAGACCTGAAACGACTGGGTTATTTCCTGGCACAAGTATTCACCTACATGCAAATCTATGGGAGAATATTGCCTACTGATGTCGAGAAAGTTCAAGTGGTCACTCTGGCACTAAAAGGGGGAGCAGCCGACTGGATGGTGACCCTGTATAATTGCAATGCACACAAGTTGAGAAATTTAAACCGTTTTATGGCCATCCTCCGCAGATGCTTTGAAGACCGGCTGGCTGACAAGAAAGCCCAGGAGCTTATCAAAATGATGAAGCGACGAAGAAGACCAGTTGCTGAGTACACCGAGGAGTTCAGAGAATTGGCCCGCCACCTGCGCTGGCCAGAGGACATCCAGGTAAGCTGTTTCCAGGATGGACTCAACAAAGAACTGTATAATGCCTTTGGAGCCCGCAGAGCCCCGGGGTGGCTATACGACTGGTGCCTGCTGGCTGAGGAAGTGGAGATCGATCAATGCAAGCATCAGCACCACCTGGTGAGATCAAGCTTCAAGCCTCAGACTGAGACGCAGGGGGAGACCGCCTGATCTTCACCTGCCCCGCCTTGTAGCACCGCCTGCTTCAAGTGTGGCAAGGAGAGACATGGAGCCATGGATTGCCGCAGCAAAACACCTGCCAAGAGAGGGGATCATCTGCCGGCCGGGATACCTCCAAGAACCCCATCACATCCAAGGGAGACTGCTATGAGGTCCAAAGAAACCACAGAGCTCCCATGGGATCACAATCGAGAGGGTCGAGCTCTGGGTCCATGCCACGATGATCCAGGAACAGCAGAAGATAACTATGAGGACAACCCTCTATAGACATTACAGTGCCTATAGAACTGTTCAGACCAGGCCCTGGGAGGACAGTGAAACTAGCAGCCTTACTGGACTCAGGGTGCACCCATTTTATGATTAGGCCAGAGCTAGTGGGGAAAATGGGAATTCCCCTTAGGAGATTGAAAACCCCAATCTCTTTTTGCCAACTGGATGGTTCAGTCATAGGGGGGGGGGGCTGCCAGTTTTGTTTCCAGACCATTACACATCAAGCAAGGTGGCCACACAGAGGCTTTAGCGTTTATTGTGGCTCTGGGCATGGAGTGGCCGTTAGTTTTGAGGCTGGCTTGGCTAAAGAAATGGAACCCCATGATCAACTGGAGGGAAAAACAACTTAGATTCCCACAGGGGGAAGCCCCACCAGTCACTAAAAAAAGCAGCGGGACATGTGGATTACTTCATGATTTTGCCTCCCCCCTCAGTGACTCAGACTTGCAAAGTTTTCAAATGGAATACAGAGATTTGCCTGAAGCATTCAGTGAGCAGAGGGTGGATGAACTCCCCCCTCACTGACCCACAGACTGTGCTATTGAAATATTCAAGGGGTAAAATTACCAAATTCGAGGACTCCCAGAGAGCTAACCGAACTGAAAAAGTTTATCAAAAAGAATTTATTGCAGGATTTTATCAAGCTAGCCAGACCTCGGGTGACAGCCCCTGTTCTATTCAGAGAAAAGAAATATGGTTCTCTTCGTCTCTGCATTGATTATAGGCCCCTGAATGCTGTGTGCATGGAAAACATGTTTTCATTACCTTTAATAAAAGACATGCTAATGCACCTATCAAAAGGATTTTTTTTTCCAAAACTGGATTTGCGAGAGGTTTATTACTGCATAAGAATAAAGAAAGGTGATGAGTGGAAAACTGCTTTCAATTGCCCATTGGGTTTCTACCAGTTCTCCCATTTGGATTACAAAGGGCCCCTGCAGTGTTCATGAAGCTGATCAACGAAATCCTCTGTGATCATCTTTATAAGAGGGTTTTGGTTTATCTGGACAATATTCTTATTTATACTGAGACCAAAGACAAACATAAATAAGGCCAATACTGCATCAGTTAGAAATTCTTGTTTCTTACTATATTTTCTCTACAATTCAGATCGGGCCTCAGTAGAATAATATAGCATTTGGGAAAAAAGATACATGCCAAGAGAGCAGCTCCAGAGGCCAAAATGGAGAAAATCTCCACAGCTACCATGGACTTCCCTTTGGTTCTCAGATAGGTAGGGAGGAAAGTAATCCAAACACAGCAAAAAACCAGCATGCTAAAGGTAATGAACTTGGCTTCATTAAAGCTATCAGGCAATTTCCTAGCTAGAAATGCCACAGTGAAACTGATGAGAGCCAAAAAACCTAGATAGGCAAGCACAATGTAAAACATTAAAGATGAGCCTTCGTTGCATTCTAAAATGATCTCTCCAAACAAGGAGTGGAAGTCCAAGTTGGGAAACGGGGGAGAGGTTCCCAGCCAGGTTGCACAAAGAAATGCTTGGACCAAGGGGCAGGCTATGACAATGGAGCAGGTCAGTGGTTTTCCTAAAAGTTTCCTTGATCTGTTCCCTGGCTTGGTGGCCATAAAGGCCAGCACCACCATGACAGTTTTTGCTAACACAGAGGAAACTGCAAGGGAAAAGAGAATGGCAAAGGCAGATTGTTGGAAGAGACAAGAGATCTTCCCAGGTTGACCAATGAAGAGGAAAGAACAGAGGAAGCAGAGCAGGAGGGAGACCAGGAGGATATAGGTGAGATCTCGGTTGTTGGCCTTGATGATTGGTGTGTCATGATGTTTATAGAAAATAACCAAGACTGCAGATGTTATAATAGAGAGAAAAAGAGCAAGAAAAACTAAAATGTACCCCAGGGTCTCTTGATAGGTGAGGAAATGGATCTTCTTGGCAATGCATTGGTCCTTGTTCTTGTTGGCATATTGGTTTTCTGGACAGGGTTCACAGTGAGCTGCATCTGAAATCAAGAGTCTTTGTCTTAGGATTTCTTGAGCAACTACCATGTGCATTATCCCTCCCACAAAGATGATATGCCTTTTTGCTGTGGCCAACCAATAAAGGGAGTGATGAAAGGAACCACTGCGTAATTTATGGTACATCAAAAAGAGCAAATCATCCTTCATTTATGATGATCCTAAGGACAGATTAACCAGAGACAAGTTCCAGCTATCCATTCACTATGCACTTCCATGAATAATGTGGCTTTCAGTTTGAAATTGCTGCCTCACCCACCAATTTATAATGGAACACGCAGAACACTGATAGATCTATTATCCAGGAATGCTGCTGTCTTGTTTGTGTGTACATTATGCTTGCCTCAACCTCTTTGCTTTGTACTTCAAATCTGTTTATTCAGACCTTTTTTGGTCCCTCCTACTCTATGAAAGAGACATAGATACATGGATCTTCTCTTTCTCTGGCAGGTCTATTTCCTTGATAGTGCTGATAGAAGAAGCACACAACAAGTGATAAAAATTAAAGCTTGGACTACAAAACCGACTTATCCGGAAACGATTGGATGTTGTTTTTCCCAATTAAATGTGAAAGTAGGAGTGGAAATGCAAGTTGGAGATTCATAAATTGTTCTCCAAAACTATCTTGCGTGGAATTGCTGAGGATCAGGAAACGTGACCTCTGTGGCCAGGACAATTTAGATCTGTAAACTGAAGGGTTCTGCTGAAAAGTATGAGTGCATGTCAATCTTATTCAAAAATGACTACAATAGCAAAAAAAGTGATCTATTGACTGTCTTCCTTGATCCTAGAAGATTTACATTTAATGTCTGGTCTACCTGTCTGATTAGAAATGGTCCCTGCTGAACAAGCGTCACACTGGTAGCAGCAAACTGGCTTGCCCTCTGGAACTCTTCTCCTCTCTCCTGCCTGGCACCTCTTTGTGCCACACCTGGCAAAGGGGATTGTCTAAAAGAGAAATACTTGAAATTACTTAAGCAATCAACCTGCTGCATTCATTCTTTTTGCCATTCCTATTTCCCTTCCTTATTCCTAATTCTATGTTCAGATTCTTTTCTAAAGAAATAGTTTACCACCATCTTAAAGAAATCAGGAACACTCCTGAGGGATTAGGCCCACTGGCATTCCTGACACATCAATAGATGTGGGAGATTGGAACTGGGATCTTGACATGTAGAGGAAGGCTTGTGACTAAACTATAGCATTTCTGAAAGAAAGAATCATGAGGATATAGCTCAGTGGAAATGGTCTGTGGAAATCACTGTTGCTTGCTATAATTGCATCCTGGGTTTCAAGCAGAGGTTGTTCCCAACCCTTTGTGGAATGACACAAATTAGACGTGAAATATCTTACATGCAAAGCAGATTTTTCACCACATGACTGCCATAATTTCTGACTCAATTTATTATTTTTCAAGTTAGAAAGATGTTCTACATCTCAGGAAGAGAATGAATATTTCCCTGAACTTACAACATTTCCTTGCAGCTCACCTTTGTGGCCCAGATGATTGTATCAGAGTTAATGGTCAAATCCTGGCCTGGGGGAGCCTCAGGATTTATTTGCCCAACTTTCGTGGAGACAAAAGATTCATTTGGGAGGAAAACCCAGTTGAAAAGTTCAAGATGAGTAGATCCCAGTCCATTTTCTGAGAAGGAGACTTCATCTCCAGCACTGTTGTTGAACTTCACATTGCTCAAAGAGACAAGAATCTGAAAGAAAGGAGACCTTCAGAAATTGGAGTATTTGGGCTAGAGCTACAAATGATACATCATGGCTTCTATCATCACACGATAGTCATCTTGAGAAAATGGGTTTATGTCTGAGAAGCTTGAAGAGCTCTCATGGTGAAGAGCTGAAAAATCAGGATTAATACCAAATATTTAACTTTGAAACTACGAACGTTTCCCTTTACCACAGGGCATCTTTTCCAACTACAGTTTCACCAAAACACAATGTCATGGTTCTGACAGATGAAACTCTTCAAAGAACTTTGAGGCATTATTTACCTTAAAGAATCTTTATTCAATTAGCATGGCATCGGCAAGTACATGGTCGAAACCAAAATCTGAATTCTCCTCCCCTTAACACATAGTATCAAAGCACAATTCCCTCCTCTAATTAATAATCATAAATCACATTTATCATCTTATCATCTCTTATTTCAAAAGTCCTTGCTTTCACACACTATTACAATATTGTTATGTCTAACTAACTCCCATCACATTACTCCTTCTCCCCCATTAGCATCTATTAGCACCATTAGCAGCATTCCAATATCTCAGGGGCTACCACAAAGAAGAGGGAGTCAAGCTATTCTCCAAAGCGCCTGAAGGCAGGACAAGAAGCAACGGATGGAAACTCTCCAAGGAGAGAAGCAACCTAGAACTAAGGAGAAACTTCCTGACAGTTAGAACAATTTACCAGTGGAACAACCTGCCTCCAGAAACTGTGAATGCTCCAACACTGGAAGTTTTAAAGAAGAGACTGGACAGCCATTTGTCCAAAATGGTATAGGGTTTCCTGCTTGAGCAGGGGGTTGGACTAGATAACCTCCAATGTCCCTTCCAACTTCATTTATTTATTTATTTATTTATTTATTTATTTATTTATTTATTTATTTATTATTTATTATTATTATTATTATTATTATTATTATTATTATTATTATTATTATTATTATTATTATTATTATTAAAGTAAAGCATAGGAAAGAAAAAGGCTGCATCTCCATATGTTGTCAAAGCAAGAATATCTGATGTAGCAGCGTTGACACACAAGGTATACAAAAATTTTAGTTCCACATTACAATTTTAATTCTAGAGTTTTCCTCTTGTGATACTTGGCTACATGCAGTTTCAAATGATTGTTTTGGCCCAAAGTCTTGTTAATGGACAAATGAATTTTAGAAATGAATAAATAATTTCTATCACAACCATGGAAAATTCTGGAGGGGCCAGGAAACCAGCAACCAGTAGGAGGACGGCTGCAGCAAGGGGATTGGTTGCCACCCCCAAATGTACAGTAACCGCTGAGGGGCCCGCAAATGATGGACATCCAGCAACAACTCCCTCTGAGGCCGCAGGGGCGCCTACAGCAATTGAGGAAGCCACAGCTCCCTGCAGACCAACAGCAGGGGGATGGCAACAGTCCCCACCCAGGCAGCAACCATTGGGGGGTCTACAGCAACTGAGGATGCCATGTCTCCCTGCTGACCAGCAGCAGGAAGGGATGGAAACAATCCCCACCCATTCAGCAACCACTGGGGGGCCTACAGCAACTGAGGGTGCCACAGCTCCCTGCTGGCCAGCAGCAGGGGGGACAACAGTAGCCCCCACCCAGGCAGCAACCACTGGGAGACCTACAGCAACCACTGGGAATGTGGCAGCTGCCTGGGTGGAGCAGCAGCAACTGGGGATCCAACAGCCACAGTGGGGGGCCCAGCAGCCATTGACTGTTCCACTTTTCAGAGCAACCTTTGATGGGGACCCAGGGAAGCTGGGTTTTTTTCTCAACCAAGTGCGCTCTCATTTGAACCGCTGTGCCTATCTCTACCCGGGCCCAGCTGCTATGGTCGACGTGATTGTGTCCAGCTTAGAGGGACAGGCATCCGAATGACTGAATAATTTATACAATGAGCAAGCCCCCAATTTGGAGGACCCCCCATCTCTTCCTCCTAGGACTGAGAGCAAGGTTTGAGGACCCATCCATTGCCCTCAAAGCAGAAGAACAAATTCATAAGATAAAGCAAGCCGGCAGGCCTGCTCTGGAGTATATACGAGAGTTCCGCAAGATAGCTGGTTGGATAGAGAGATGGCCTGAGCAATCCCTAGTCCATCACTTCAAAGAAGGATTAGACGACCACCTCTCTCAGGCCAAATTAAAACTCCCTAGGTTTTTAGGGAGAGTTCACCCTGTCTTCCATTGCAGCTTGTTGAAACCTTTTCGGGGCTCCGCTTTAAGACTTCCCCCTAAGAAGGCACCTGGACACCTCATAGTAGCGGGTCAGACTCACTTTTAAATAAAACGTATTCTTGATTCTAGAATTTTTAAAGGGAAATTGCAGTACCTAGAACAATGGAAGGGATACTCGCTGTCTGAAGCCACTTGGGTGAAATCTAGCGATGTGAAAGCTGACAGACTCATCAAAAGATTCTATAGGAAACACCTAACAAACCAAGTGACAGTCCTTAACATATGCTTTTGTTTATGTTACAGGATCTGTCCTTTTTGTAAGGGGGGCCGGATGTCAATGCTGCTAACATCGGATGTTCTTGCTTTGACAACATATGGAGATGCAGCCATTTTCCTTCTTATGTTTTACTCTTAGAATTAGAGTTAGGATTAGATGATGCTGGGGGGGGGAGGAGGAGGAGGAATGTGCATGGGAGTTTAGTTAGACATAACAATATTGTAATAGTGTGAGAACCAAGGTTTTTTTGAAATAAGATGATAAGAAATGGTGGGTTGGAGAACTGGAGGGAAAGTCTGCATTTCAAACTAATTGGAGAATGTGATCTATGACTATTAATTAGAGGAGGGAATTGTGCTTGGGTACTATGTGCTCAGGGGAGGGGAATTCAGATTTTGGCTTTGCCTTTGTACGTGCCGATGATATGCTACTTGAATAAAGATTCTTTAAGGTAAACAATGCCTCGAAGTTCTTTGAAGAGTTTCATGTGTCGGAACCATGACATCACTATTTAGAAAGGTCCAACTTTTAGCCTTTGATGCAGAAAATTCTGATGAATTTCAGACCAGAAGCCCATTAGGACCATTTTGAATCCTGCCGTGTGCTGTGATTGATATAGAAACATAGAATAATAGAGTTGGAAGGGACTTTGGAGGTCTTCTAGTACAACCCCATGCTCAAGCAGGAGACCCTATGCCCTTTCAGACAAGTGGCTGTCTTGCCTCTTCTTAAAGGCCTCNGCTTCTCTCCTTTGTTAATTTTCAACGATTATTAAACAGAAGCTTTTCTCACACAGCAAGCTGAGTAGTGAAACAAATGGGCAGGGACACAGCAGGATACTAAGCCATAGAAACATAAACCAAGATTAAAACAAATTGAGTATATTTTTACAAGTTGGATTCAGGGCACATTCTGAGCAAAACTGAAATTGTTCTGCATAGATAATAATAATAATAATAATAATAATAATAATAATAATAATAATAATAATAATAATAATAATAATAATAATAATAATAATAATAATAATAATAATAATAATAATAATAATAATAAAGTTGGAAGGGACCTTGGAGGTCATCTAGTCCAACCCCCTGCTCAGGCAAGAAACCCTATACCATTTCGGACAAATGTCCAGTTTCTTCTTAAAACTTCCAGTGTTGGCGCATTCACCGCTTCTGGAGGCAGGCTGTTCCACTGGTTAATTGTTCTAACTGTCAGGAAGTTTCTCCTTAGTTCTAGGTTGCTTCTCTCCTTGATTAGTTTCCATCCGTTGCTTCTTGTCCTGCCTTCAGGCGCTTTGGAAAATAGCTTGACTCCCTCTTCTTTGTGGCAGCCCCTGAGATATTGGAACACCGCTATCATGTCCCCCCTAGTCTATGATTTCAACTCACCTTCTGAAATGTGTTGCATAACCACACCAGATTACTATCTTGCTTTGGGCTGACACTTCCTCCTTGAAATGGTCACCCTCTGAAACTTGCGCAGCTGTTGAAGCCTATTCAGGACTTTATAAAGGTCTTTCCTTTATAGAATTTATGGACCCCTGGTTTGGTTTGCTTCTCTTTTACCCCTCTGCCCTCTTTCAATAAAATATTGTTCGTCTTAACTATTTTTAATCATTGCTGTTTTAATACACTTTGAGATGGATTGGTATGGGAGCATGCAGACATTTAATCAATAACTGAAGAAATTCATATGGGGAGCTTCCACTCTAAGGATCAGTGGACTGCGTAGAAAAGCCATAATAATTACCTCCCATGACTGGAAATTTGAAATCCTCTTTCCAAGCCTCATCATGGTCGGTCGGGCTCCGGATCCATACATTGCATGTAATGCGTGTGCCAGAGCAAAAATGGCATTGTAGACATTGTAACTTTCACCTGTCATTCTTGTTTCAAAAGTGTAATATGGTAGATACTGCAAATTCTCCTTTCCTGTACATTGTTTTTTCCCCTTTGGAGGGATCTCGCCTGGTTTGTGGATCTTGCAGTCAAAGACATACTCCCACCATGAAGGGAGAAAAACATCTCCTTGTGGGTTCAAGGGATCTAAAGACAGGAGGAAATGGGTGAATTCTAAGACTTCCCCAGTGTGGTCCCTAAAATGCAAGGCCCCATGGGAAGGCATTATGTATTCCAATATGCCTTGAGATCCATCCCATCCTTTCCAATGGGAAGTTATAATCAAAACTTTCCGAAATGATGTCTTTGTGTATTTTTCATAAAAACGCACAGCCATTAGTACAGTGGTAGTAACAGTGGAGTCTCCAAACAGAATAAACACTTCTGTTTTAGACCAAGCATGGAAAGTGAAAAATAAGTTTTTTAGCGTAATATTAAGATCACCCAATTTTGTCATTCCAGTGAAGGCCAGACAGATCTCCTTCTCCTTGAGCATTGGCATCAGAGATGAGATGAAATGTTCTCCCTGGTCATCTTCAGGGACCACAAGCCCAACCCAATTCCACTGGAAATGCAGGAGCAGCTGGACTAAACCCACATATTGAGAAGATTCCTTAGCATTAATCCGGAAGAAGGAAGGATAAACTGTTTTCTCTTCCTGCAAGAACTCAAAGCCAACACCAAGCTGGAGAAAGTGAGATTTTTTTAAAAAAAAAACAACAAAGTAAAGGTTGATGTTGACTTTAGGGGTCACCATTCTATGGTTGATTGCCCCACTATTCACACTGGCTCACTCTGAGTGGCAAGCTTAAGTTTCTTCCCTTTTAGGAAGAGCCACCAGTTACCCATTTTAATTGGTAGTGGTACCTCAGAAGACAAGAGAAGAAGCCATCAACCTGATACAGAGACTAAATGACACTAAAACGATGGCTACCCTTTTATCAAATATAAACTAAGAGTCACAAGTCATGTTATGCCTCTCTCCCCAAAAAAACTACTTTTGGTTTCAATTTTGGTTTCTGAGTATGCTTCTGATCTTTGTCTACTCCATACTGGATCCAATGGAGCTCTCTTACCTGTGGGACCTTAAAAATACTGAAGATGATGGCCATCTGCCTTGAGTATTTGGCAATGAGACCACCAATGATGGACAGAAGAGTGTCCTGCTGGTCACATTTGTACCCTGGAACCACTTGGCCTCGTGAGGAGAGCATGGAGAAGCTGTTTAAGGAAATAAACATCTCACTCTGGAAATGTCTGTAGATATGGAAGCCGAGGGTGATGTTGGGGAGCAGGAAAAAATCCTTATTGACCTCAGAGACAGCAAACATCAATGCAAGGAATTGCTGGTAGTTAATGGGGAATAGCCTGTAGTGAGAAAAAACATTGGGAACATTATAGTTCTGTGCTGGTAGAGTTTTCTTCACTCTTTGGCAGGGATTTTGGAGGCAGCAAATTTCCCATATTTTATTGGGTTTGGAGTTTTTTCAAAGGACCTCCCTTGGCTAAACTTGGATGACTTTGTGAGAAAGAAGATAAGCCTTTGCATCCATATCATGGTCTGTTTTGTATCCCTCTATCATCTTCCCCATCTTCACTTTGCTCCAGTGGCTGAAATCCTTCCCAACTGCTCCTCTATCAGACTAATAATTTAGGGTTTCTCTTGGAGAAACATCTTCAGGTGGGGTAAACATTGCTGAGCACAGGACCGTAGTGTGTGTGGGTCACCTCATAGATTTACTGAAGGCTGCTATACATGAGCAATGCTGATTCCAAAACTGAGAGAGATTTTTACAACTCTTGAACACTGGAAGTGTCATGGTTCCAATAGATGAAACCAGTAAAAGAACTTCAAGGCAAGAATTCTTCCTTAAAGAACATTTTATTAGGAAACAAAGTATCGGCACTTACAGAGTTGAACCCAAAACTGAAATTCCCTACCCTCAGAACAAAGTATCAAGTTTCAATTCCCACCCCAAAGAAGCTGTCAGAAATCACATTCTCCAATTAACACAAAACGTGCACTTTCCTTCCCAGCTCTTCAGCCCGCCAAAACTTTAAGTAGTAACCTTGAGTTCCCACACAGCTGCAATTGTTATGATGAACTAAACCCTCAAGCATTTACTCCATCCCCCTTCTACATCTAAACTGCAAAACAGTTTACAATGCCTTGGTAAGGCCACACTTGGAATACTGCATCCAGTTTTGGTCACCGCGATGTAAAAAAGATGTTGAGACTTTAGAAAGAGTACAGAGAAGAGCAACAAAGATGATTAGGGGACTGGAGGCTAAAGCATATAAGGAACAGTTGCTGGAATTGGGTACGTCTAGTTTAATGAAGAGAAGGACGAGGGGGGACATGATAGCAGTGTTCCAATATCTCAGGGGTTGCCATAAAGAAGAGGGAGTCAAGCTATTCTCCAAAGCGCCTGAAGGCAGGACAAGAAGCAACGGGTGGAAACTAATCAAGGAGAGAAGCAATCTAGAACTAAGGAGAAACTTCCTGACAGTGAGAACAATTAAC